CCTTCACCCAGATTCATCAATGATTAAGTTTCTGCCACATTTGCGTTATCTTTCTCTTTAAAAATCTCTTTTTGTTGGTGTTGTTGTTGCTGCTGTTGTTTTATTTTATATTTTGGTACCAGGGATTGAATCCAGGGCACTTATCCACTGAGCCACATTCCTAGCCTTTTTTATTTTTTTATTTTGAGACCTTGCTGCCACAGTCTGGCTGGACACAAGATCACAAGCCACCACACACCTTGTAGATTCAAACAGCAATTCTTTATTCCCGAACTCACACTGGCCCCCTACAAACACTTTCTGGGGAAATCCAAGTTCTGCCAGCCAAATTCACGTACTCCACCAGGCTTTGAATCCCAAATGCTTTCTGAATTCCACGAGAACTCAGGCAGCAGGATACGCCCTATTCCCAGCAGGAATAACTGTCGGGGACTAGAAGGAAATTCTCCTTCAAAGATCAGCCTGACAGCCCCCTGGGAGACATCCTGCCCGGTGGCATCCTGCAGCTACCTATCTCCCTGGAACATCCTGCCGTCATCAGGATCATCAGACATCTTGCAGCTGGCAGTTTTACCACCCACATCCAGCAATTGCTGATTAGAGACCTTCCCCATCCCCAGCATATGAATACCCACCCACATCCAGCAATTGCTGATTAGAGAGCTTCCCCCATCCCCAGCATATAAATACCCCTGTGTGAACAATAAAAGTTTGCAGCTTGATCAGAACTTTTGTCTTGCTGTCACCTTTCGTGTCTCTTGTCCCTTCATTCCTCCCCATCTAGGTTCGCTGCCCACGTTGATGTGTCCTGCCGGACGGGACATTTGGCGCCCAGTGTGGGGCTCGAGCCTTTGACTGAGAAGGAATGCCGTCCTCCGGGAAGACTTGGCCAAGCGGGAGCGTGCGATCGCCTAGGCAGACACGACCCAGAGACAGATCCGGGAGGAGAGCGAGGACGACGCACGGTGAGTGACCCACCATGGGACAAGCAGTTTCGTCACATGAGTTGTTTTTGTCAGGCCTCAAGGAGGCTCTCAAGACACGGGGAGCGCGTGTTAAGAAAAAGGACTTAAAATTATTCTTTTCATACGTAGGAGAATTATGTCCGTGGTTTCCCCTTGAAGGGACCATTGATGGTAAAAGATGGCTTAGAGTAGGAGACTGTTTAAAAGATTATTATGAATCCTTTGGCCCAGAAAATGTGCCTGTTCCCACCTTTTCTTACTGGAACTTAATTAATGAAATTCTTAAAAGTTCACCCTTTGATAATGGTACCTTAAAACTTGTCAGGATTGGGGAAGAGGCTGTGCAAAAGACCTCTCGTCCCTCTCGTCCCTCTCGTTCCCCCTCGGCATGCCCTTCAGTTAGTATAGACACAGACCCTTCTCAGTCTCCCCAGGACCCTGGGAACCTTCCTTGTCTCGCTCAAAATCCCACCCTAATAAATAAGGCTCCAACGGTTACCAACCACCTTTATCCAGTTTTAAATCCTGGAGACACGTTGACCCCTGGGGAGGAGGCTACCTCGGAGAAGGAAGCAGCTCCCTACCATTCAGAAGACCTGCCACCTCTCAGGACCCTGCCACACCCTATAGGACTCACACATCCCCCTCCCTCCTATATCCCTCCTGCCTTTTGTGCTCCGGCCCTTCAGGGGACAACTGCCCCCTCAGATATTTTTTTCCCCACTTCCCCTGCCTGACCAGGCCTGACCCTGCTTAGTTTTCCCAGTTCCTTCCAGACCTCAGCCAGGACTTAAACTGATATGCAAATAGAAGAAGCCTGGAGTCCGATCAGTAGGAGATAGAGTAAAAGTGTCTTTTTACCTGAACTCAAACTAGACCAAACCAAAAAGTAAATTGTATGGTATTTACTAATTACTGGCCGGTCATCTTTTTTAGGACTCTTGCTTTTTCTTAGATTCTATATTTTTTTTGAGCTCATGATTTTCATCCTACAGAGAAGTTAATGTTTTCTGATCAGTTCTATTTTTGATCAACTGTGGAGTTTTAAACATTGCAATGGAGATTTCACCTGAAAAAACAGCTACAAAGCCTTGTATATGTGTGCACACTTGTGTTATGTGTTGTGTGTCGGTATGTCTGTATGTGCGTATGTCCATATATCATGCAGTTATATGACAACTGGCAGATATATGAGGAGCGCTCATAAAAAATTTAAAAAATGGATCCAAATATCTTTGATGTGTCCTGCCGAATGGGACAAATAACCTTAAACCTGGAACCGCCCTAAACTCAAGGAGTGGGATACTCCCTAAAACCTGATCCGCCCTAATCCAGTAGGATCCTCCTTAAACCCGGATCCACCCTGGTCCTTGAGCAGGGTCACCTTTCTCAAACATACATGCAATGTCACTTCAAATGTCCATTTCCACGAGTCCTTCCTCTAAGCAACATGGGGTACGCTGGCAAGGAAATTTCAATGTGTAATTCCTACTTGGCAATGGCTCTCAGCACCTTGCTAAATTGCTGAGGCTGCCCTTGAATTTGTGATCCTCCTACTCAGCCTCTGAGTTGCTGGGATTACAGGCATAAACAACTATGCCCAACTACATATACTCTTTTTTCTTGTTTACAATGGTAACTAGTGTGTCCACAGAATTGTTAAACCATCACTACAATCTAATTTTAGAACAACTGCCATTCCTTGCTGAGGGCCATTGCCAAGTAGGTATGACGCATCGAAATTTCCTTGCCAGCGTATCCCATGTTAAATGGACTTGCCTTGGAAATTTGCTATGACATTGCATGTGTCTTTGAGAAAGGTGACCCTGCTCAAGGACGAGGATGGATCCAGGTTTAAGGTGTATACTGCAGGTTTGAGGAAGTTTCCCCGCTCCTTGGGTTTAAGGCGTTCCCGGTTTAAGACAATCTGGGTTTAGGGAAGTTCCAGGTTTAAGGTTATTGCTGCTGGGTATAGGGCGTTCCTGCTGCCTGAGTTCCCATTGAGTTCTCGTGGAATTGCGAAAGTATTTTGGGATGTGAATTGTGCAGCAGAACTGGGATTTCCCCAGAACGTGTTTGTACAGGGCCGGTGTGAGTTCGGGAATAAAGAATTGCTGTTTGAATCTACAAGGTGTGTGGTGGCTCCTGATTCAGTGCCCAGCCAGACTGCAGCAATTCCTCAAGTACCCTCAGCAATCAACTTCTCCTCCAACTCAATCCAGCTGCAAGCCATAGGCAACCACTACCATGCTTTCTATCTCTGTAGACTGACTCACTCCAGACCTGTTAGACATGCATGGACATTTCATTTTATTTATCAATCTATCAACTGATAAACATTTTGGGTTGTTTACACTTTTGTGTGTATGTTTGGTGCTGGGGATTGAATGCAGGGCCTTATTCATGCTAGGAAAGCGCTCTACCCGTGAGCTACAACCTCATCCCTTTTTATTTTATTTTTCCATTAGTTTGTTTTTCTTTATTTCTTTTTTCTTATTTTTTTAAATCCCCTTTTTACTTTTTGAAACAGGGTCTCACTAAGTTGCCCAGGCTGGTCTTGAACTTGTGATCCTCCTGCCTTAGCCTCCTAAGCTATGGGGTTTACAGGCATGTGCCACTGTGCCCAGCCTTCCATTGTTTGTTTGTTTGTTGTTGTTTTTGGTTTTTTTTTACATAAAAGGCAGTATGCTCTATATAGTTCTATACTTTGCCTTTTTTTTTTTCACTTAATAATGTGTACTGGAAATTGTTTCCCATCAGTGCACAGAATCCTGGTTCCTTTCTTTCTACAGCAACATAGTACAGTATCTTATGTATATTCCAGAAAATCTCTGCCAGTCTCCCACTGATAGACATTCAGGTTAATTCTAATTTTGCATCCAATAGCTTTGTAATACATTATTTCACACTTGTCAGAGGCTACCTATTCTTGGAAGTGGAACAGGATAAATAGTATTTGCAATGATTAATCAGTCCATCATAGACCCAGCTAAATAGCTAAACTCTGCAGATTTCACCAGTTTCACAACCACCCAAAGCATGTGCATGTGTTTCTCCATACCCTCTCCTCTACTACAAACTCTTGAATCTCTGACAACTTAATAGGTAAAAAACTGTAACAGTGCAGTTGCAGTTTTGTTTTACAATTTTTTTTTTTTTTAAAGAGAGAGAGAGAGGGAGAGAGAATTTTTAATATTTATTTTTTAGCTCTCGGCAGACACAACATCTTTGTTGGTATGTGGTGCTGAGGATCGAACCCGGGCCGCACGCATGCCAGGCGAGCGCGCTACCGCTTGAGCCACATCCCCAGCCCTACAATTCATTTTTAATGTACGAGGATAAATCTCTTTCTATGCTTTAAAAAAAAATCTTTCTCTGTGAATCTTCTTTTTTTTTTTTCTTTCTTTAGTTCTGGGGAATTGAACTCAGGAGCACTGGACTACTGAGCCACATCCCTAGCCCTATTTTGTATATTATTTAGAGACAGGGTCTCACTGAGTTGCTCAGTGCCTTGCTGTTGCTGAAGCTGGCTTTGAACTGCCTCAGCCTCCTGAGCCACTGGAATTATAGGCTTGGGCCCCCATGCCCGGCTCTGTGAACCTTCTATTCACATTTTGCACACATTTCTACGGATCACTCATCTTTTCCTTATTGACTTATGAGGTGCATTTCATATGTTAGTGAAAGTAGGCCTCAGTCTTATTATGAATTACATATATTTTTCCTGGTTTGTCACTTCTCTTTTGATTTTGCTTATGAACATTTTTCATTTCCACATGTATCTTATATTTCTGCTGTCAATCTTGTCCCCCTTTTCTTTTTGGACTTTCAGTGTTGGTGTCACACTTAGAGAGGCTTCCCTCTCCTGCAGGCCATTAAAAACAAAACTAAAACATCTTCCAAGTCTTCCTCTAGTTCTTTATGGATTTACATTTTAAATGACCTGCAATTTTTAACTGTTGTTTGGGTTTTTTTTTTTTTTGTACTGGGGATTGATCCCAGAGGCACTCTACCACTGAGTTATATCCCCAGACATTTTTATTTTTATTTTATTTTGAGATAGAGTCTCACTAAGTTGCTGAAGCTGGCCTTGAACTTTTGATTCTCCTGCCTCAGCCTCCAAAGTAGCTGGGGTTATAGGTGTGCACCACACACCACATCTGGTCCTATAATTTATTTTGGCGCAAAGTCGGAAGTAAGAATCTGTCAAGTAAGGTTCCTGAAGATGACATGCCCCACTCCAGCCTGACAACAGGTAACCATGCTTATTTCACATGGCCATGGGTTCCCTGGCTTCTCCAATCTCCCCTTTGCAATAATTCTTCATGTAAAGGAATGATTCTAAATATTTAATTAGAATTTAATTAAATAAAGTTAAGAGAAATTGTATGATTTTGGCAGGGATTTCTGTTTCATTGTTTTTCAGAGATTGCAATCATGGTCAAGTACCCTCTAATCTCCTTGGGGTGAACACTGATAAAAATTCGGAATGTATCCTTTCAGATTTATTTTCCTACAGTTATCATAGTTTTCTAGGTTAACACATAGTTCTATCTATGCTTTTTAAAGGATTATTTTCTAGAAATGATACTTATCAGAATATACCAGATATAGATTATTTGAAAAATACAAATATTCCAATATATGTAGCCTGAATAAACTTACCACCCTGCTACTCATTCTCCACTGGATAATCCCATCACAGGGCTCCTACTCTATCCTTTCTGGTTTCACCATATTTACCCTTTTACTCTAGCAGAACCTAGATACTCAACAGTGGTTTACTTCATTAGCGGTTACATCACCCTACATTCAACCATGTGTTCTGCTTTGACTCTTGTCCAAATGAAGCCAGATTTAAAGTTAGGTAGTTAGTGTAGTTAGGTAAATCGGGTCTAAAATCGAGTGAAATCTAAAATGGAGACCATGCTGGGAATGACTCAGGGAAAATACAGGACAACTCATGGAATGTTAATGAAGTCCTGAAAAGGCCCTAGGCCAAAGTCCACCTGGAAGAAATGTTAACCAACAGCCC